AGATGCAATTATTACACCCTATTAAACCCATACTACCCCTAAAACTACCCTACTACCTCACCATACAAACCGTCACTTTTTCTCACCCTTCCCAATTAAATTTTTTCTTTAACACTCCACCTTCACCCATCAAATCAATTAAACTCCCCATAAACTTCCATAACCGGCCTCACTCTCTCTCCTCCCAATTCACACTATTCATCTTCTCCTTCCTTTCAATTCATCCTCATAACCATGAAAACCAACCTAACCTCAACCCCGAAACAACCAAAAACCCGGAAGCCTTCCTCTGCTGGCGGCTCCCCTGAACCAGTCCCACTTGCCGTTGTTCACCCTCAAGCTTCGACAAAGAGAAAGGCTACAACCGTGAAAGGAGGTGACAGAAAGAGGCGAAGCTCTCAAAAGTCTCCATCTTGGAATTACACTCACGGTTATCACATCAATTATGACTGGTGTACGGCAAGTAAGTTCTCCGAATTCATCTCCTTAATTGATTATCAAGAATGGGTGCATTTGTTCCAAAATTGTTCTCACTATCCAATTTACCCTAAGCTTTTGTTTGAATTCAAAAATACTTTCAAACACAACAATGGTGTTTGCACGGCTACGGTCAAAGATACTCACATTCATTTTGATATTGCATATTTAGGGAACTTGTTTCAAGTCCCCACCTCTGGCTATAGTTCATACCTAAAACACAAGCAAATTGTGCAAATTGGGCATTATGATGAGAATAGGGTTATTAAATTTATCGGTGGAAACCCGAAAAGCAAGACTTCACATCATAACATACTCACCCCTCTTCACAAATTATTGTTCAATTTCACATGGAGAGGCATTGTTCCTCGTTTGCAAAAACGTAGCACAGTATCCCTACTAGATGCAACCATCATCTTTTGTCTTGCTCGGAAAATAAAAATAAACTTTCCAAAATTGATGATTCAACATTTGGCTTTCTATGCAAATAAATCTACTATTCCATATGGATCTCTCCTCACTGTGTTGTTTAAGTCTTTTGGGATTGATGTTGAAAGTGAGTCACCCACTTATATTAAACCTGAGAACATTCTCTCGGAGCAATCTTTGCTTCGCCTGAGCCTTAAACTTGAGAGTGGGATACTTACTTTCTTGACGAGAGGAAGTGAGGAGAAAAATCGTGGAAAAGGGAAAACACAGGTTGTAGAGGGAGATACAAGTGAGTCAGAAGAGGAGGAAAGTGAGTCTGAAAAAGAGGAAAATAAAGAAAAAGGAGAGGAAGAAAAAGGAGAGGAAGCAATTTCTGAGGGGGAACCTCAGGAGGCAGATTCTGAGGAAGAAGAGGAGACTCAGAGTGAGGGGGAATCTAGCTCAGAAAGTGAGAGTCTCGACCTCCCTTATACAGGAGGACTAAGGCGGAGTAAGAGGAAAATTGTCAAACCTGCTACTTCTACTCTAAAGCCGGTGATCATTGAAGACATTAGCTCTTCTGATCACTCAGACCCTGATTTCACCCCTACACAAGTTCCTTTTGCCTCCGTGCCATCTCCTGTTCCTGCCTCTCCCACAAACCAAGCTAAACCCTCTTCCCCTCCTGTTTCACCAAAACAGACTTCTCCCTCTCCCTCCCCAGCTTTTCCTACATCACAGCCTACAGGCTTTGCTGCCTTCTCTGGAACAAATGCTTCTGTTTTTGATATTCAACAGGTGAAAGCAGAAATGGAGAAGCTGATAAAGATGGTGTGCACAAAGCTGGAGGACATGGCAAAGCAGCTGGCTTCTCTTCAACGCCAAGTGCAGGCTGTGGCAGATGCTCAGGCAACCAGTTTTACTGGGATGGAGAACAAAGTTGATGCTGCTGAGAAGAACATACTGCACAGCTCTCAGGAGATATTGGAGACGATTAACAGGGTGGCTTTTGAAGAGGTGGAGGAAGCTTCCAATGACCCCAAAACCCCAGCTGATGAACCTACTTACTCACCATAATTGCAATTTCAAACTTGTCACTTTTACTTCTTTTGTTTTTGCTTGTTCCATTCGGATTTCAGTTTGTAACTCATAACTTTTGCTACTCTTTCCTGCTTTTGATTTTCGTCTATGGGAACTTGGCTCGTATTTTTCATATGATTGTGTGTGTTTGCTGATGATTTAGTACCTAACTTATTTTTGCCTTGCATTATTTGAGCTCACTATTCCCTACGTAGTCTAGTGGGAGTATAGCAAAATGTTTTTTTTCAATCTTTTGATAATGCCAAAAGGGGGAAAAAGACAAACTTCATGACGGCTAAGGTGTTTACCAAGGAACTCACACATCGAAGGTACAAACTTTTCTAAGTTCTGAATAAAGTCCTAGTAATCTAAGTTTTTAAACTTTTTCTAAACTTTTAAAGTCTTTGTAAATTTTTTTTCTGATGCTCAGTCTTTTTAAAAGAAATACTTGTTAGTTTTTTTTAAGTTCTTTAATTACTCTGGTTTTTTCATGTCTTACTTTAAATTTTTGTTGCATGCCTGGATGATTTTATTTACCTAAGTTTGTCAATGTTTGTCATCATCAAAAAGGGGGAATTTGTTGAGCCTTTTGGTTTTGATGGACAAATTGACAAACTCGACTAATGAATGTTTTGAGTCTTTGGTGAATAAAGGATTCAAGCAAAGTTCGTTCCGGAGTAGGAACTTGGATGCGGAGTAGCATTCTCTAAAAAGCCTCGTGCAAATCTCACGTTCTAGTTTTAATTGTGAGCACTCAATATTATAAAGTCGGAAAGGAACTCAATGACTTATGTTAAAAAGACTACTGGAATAAAAGTTAGTTTTAAAAGATAATTTCTTAAAGAAAAGATAATTTGTAAAAGTTTTAATAAAGATAATTATCGAAGATAATTATCTAGTTGTTTTAATAAATAATAAATTTATCTTTTCAAATAAAATCTTTTTAAACAAACTTTTGATAATCTTTTTAAACAAATATTTGATAAGGATAGCAAGCGGTTTTTCTGTGTGAAAATCTTTATACGGCTAATGATTATCAAGTTGATTAAGATAGTGGACTAATTAGATAAGGCTAGGAAACCTCTTCATGATTACCATCTGTCAAGATAACTCCACAAGTTGTTAGTGGGTTGTTGGCATGTGGACGTGATTATAGTGGAGGTTAATGACTAAGCCTTCTCTATAAATACTCATGCAAACTATCTCAGCAAAATATAACTTAAGCATAAAAATTCCAGTAGCCATCTAATAACATAAAGAGAGTTATTTTCCTTCATATATTCTTGAGTGCAATAGGTATTTGTAATCACAGATTGTATACAAGTACTTTGGGGTTGGGATTGTGAGTTTGTAAGGTGAGGTTAAGGAAGCTTCGTTGCTGAAGTCTTCTGTGAGAGTTGGGAACAAGTTCCTAATTTGTGGAACTTGTTAACGGGTTTGAATCTTCACTTGTAAAGAGTTTTGATTACATAGTGGAAATTTAGAAAAGCCTATATCTTCTCTCGTCATTATTTCATTTAGTTAAATTCCGCAAAAAGTTTTTAGATTTCACCTCAAATACAATTCACCCCCCCCTCTTGTATTAGCCAGTTAGACTTTCAGAAACAATTTTATTGAATGATTCAACATGGGGTTTGTGATTTATGATTTAATGGTACAGAAATTGTTTTAAGAGAGTCTACATGCCAAGTGGAATCTCCCCTTTTGCAATATTTTCTCCATTCGTCACGATATTTTTACCGCACAGAGTAAGTTTTTGAGTTGAGAACTTGAGATCAACAAGAGTATAATGCACTATTTCTCCGAATGATGCACCATGAGTATTAGATGGTGCTTAGGTCTAGTAGTTAGTACCAGTAATTTGTTTATTGTTTGTTCTTCCGTTTTGGGGCTTGCCCCTTGTTTTCACAAAAAGAAAAAATAATAAAAAAAATAAAATAATAATAATAATAATAATAATCTGGGTGGGACTCAAATTGTATCTCGACTCCCCACTAATTTCTTTTATTCGGTTGACTTTATAGGTTTTTGTTATTTTTCATAATAATAATAATAATAATAATAATTTTTTTTAGTATTATTATTATTAAGGGTTGCCCTGGTTGAGGGGTTTGTTTCAAAAAAATAAAATAAAATAATTATTAAGGGTTTAACTAGCTAAACCATCTTCTTTGTAACAAACTATCTCATTACTTATGCTTTCATACTTTTTTTTTTTTTTTTAATGCTTGCATACTTCACATTACATAATGAATTATATATACAAAAAAGGGAAATTTTAAGGTCATTTCTCCGAAAGAGAGAAAAAAAGCTACGTCGTTTTTCTAACACGTAAGGGTGGTTATTTCTACTAAGCTAATGCATGGGTTAGGAAAAAGGTTTATACTTTCGTAATTCCCCTTACATGATGTAAATTCTGCAGCTAAGCTAGCTAGATTATGGCCTTCTTTGGTAATTGGTTGTTGGCTGCTGGCTGTTACTCTTGGCTTGTCTGACCAGCTGTTTGTATTGGCTTTCTATGTTGGTTGTTTGACTGTTGGCTTTAAAAAAATATGTTTGGTAAGTTTGGTTATTGACGGTTGGTTGTTTGGGACTAAAATTACCTTTAAGGGCATTGATATGTTTTATTATCTTTCTTCTAATAGTAATGATTTTAATAATTTATTTTTTCTTTTACTTCTACTACCAAGTAGTATCACTGCTACTCTGTATTTTTTTATAATATTTTTTTTTATAATAATATTTTTTTTAAATAGGTTTATTATTTACGACTACTATTAACTAGTATCACTGTTACTTCGTATTATTTTTTTCATAATAATTTTTCTATTTTGTTAAGTAGGATTATTATTATTATTATTATTATTATTATTATTAGTGATGTTTTAAACTTTTTATCACATATTTTATTTACTATAAACAATACAACAACAACAATAATTATTATTATTATTAGTGTTACGGTAAATGACTTAGAAAAGATTTATGATATTTTTTTCACATGTAAAATAATGCTTAAAAGAATTTCAATAATACAATAAAAAGTGAATAATTGAACACCAGTAGTAACTTAGAAAAAAATAAATCATAAGCATGCATATTAATGATCTAATATTGTCTTCTGACTCGCTTGGCTCGTCTAGTTTTCATCAAGCAAGCAGCAATGTTATCACGAACAATTGTCGCCTCACTAGTTGACGATTCTTGAACACATTGAGGGACATTAGTTTCAATATCCTCAACTCCTTCGGAAGGTACAAATTTAGGATCTTTATCCACGAGTCAAAAAGTTGGATCACCAACGCCACTTCGTCTAGTATAGTTGTGTAATGCAAAGCAAGATCGTATTATTCTGTTTTGATCTTTGAATGAGTATCTAGGCATTTTATCTAGGATCTTCCATCGGGCTTTAAGAACACCAAATGACCGTTCAATGCAACTTCGTATTGACGAATGAGCACGATTAAAAACTTCTTTGGTACCCCTTGGACTTGCACCTCAAAATTCAGATAGATGGCACCTCGTCTTACGGTAAGGAGTCAAATACCCCTTTCTTTCCGGATAGCCTTTGTCAACAAAATAATATTTACCTAAAAGAAAGTTACTAAAAAAAATTAGCCCTAACAATATTTAAAAAATTTGGGGCATTAGGAATAATAATGTATAATACCTTCTGGGGGTTTTGGAAACTTGAGTCTTGGATCACTAATTGTATCAAGAAATATTCGTGAATCATGAGCTGAGCCTTCCCATCCCGTCAACATGTATGTAAACAACAAATCAAAGTCACATCCAGCTAAAACGTTCGTAAATGGTATACCTTTCCTTCCTCTGTAATGCAGTTGGTCTTCTTCTGGGACAATTATTGATATATGTGTACCATCTATAGCTCCAATACAATCCTAAAATGAAACGGTATCATTATATTATTTCACGATAACTTGTAAAATATTTTCATTTTTTTTTGTTTTAACGAAAGGAAAATTGTATTACCTTGAAATATGGCATGTATCTAGCATCATTTGCTAATTGTCGTGGCACCTCCTTAAAACTAGGATCTCTAGGTACAAGTATATCCCTTGACATTCTATCCATAGCATATAAAACTTGTTTAAATACTCGACTCACTGTTTTGCCGGAGTGTTGAAAACGTTCTTGAGTTAATCTATTTGGGGCACCATGAGCAAGGACATACACAAATATGCCCACTTTTTCTATAATTGACATTCTTAACCATGGTTTTAAACCGTACCTGCTTTCTAAATATGTGCATAGTTCCATAAATAAAGGAGGGTACATTCTAAGAACATTAAAACAACGTGTTTTATGACCGTTAAGTAACTCAATCACCCACATTTGGCCGGTTAAATACGAGGTCATACAAGGTTCCTTATATATATGGTTCAAATAATACTTTGTAATGTAACCTACGTTGCAAGCAATCAATTCCCAAAAATTATCCTCTTCATCTAAGTACTCTTTGCATAAGAAGAGCATTTTAAGTTGCATATTATAATCCATACCTAGAAACAAACAAGTTAAATATCAAAATCAATTACATAACATAACTAATATTTATAAGATTTAAATTTACAAAACAAGGATGAATTTCAATCATCCAACAAAAGTAGCAAAAGTAATCCCATTAACATCCATACAATTTTTCTCTAAAACATATATAAAGGTTGGGGATGCGTACAACATTTTCTATTTCTTTTTGTTTTACAATGAGATATATATAAATTATGGGCTTAAAGAGCCATTCTATAGCAAGTTCCAACAAACAAAAGCTAGCATAAAATTCCAAAAGTGCATATGGTAACATTCTTAATTTAATTCAAAAGTTACCATATGCAATTCTAAGTAGTTAGTAAAGTTACTAGCACATATCACTTGTGTCCCACATTTTGTGTATACATAAACCTTATGTATTCAACTCTTTTCTTATCATCCGCAAATTCTAAAAAGATTGTCCTTCTTTGTGGATCTTCAATGAGTGTACAAGCATAGTAAAATTCAGGTGAGCTGGAATCAAAATCATCCATGGAGCACAACTTAACCATTGCATCAGTCACACTATATTTTGGTATATCAATATTCATAGAGTTCATCATATTCACCATAGCAGTTTGAAACTCTTTTGTGGAACTATTCCTTTCAGCAACTATTTCCATCATTCCATCAATTTTATCACTAAGGGAAGCACTCCTTCTAGACTTTTTTTTTTTTTCAGACCTTGCACTTTTGTTACTTTGAAAGGAACCCACTCTCCATTACCCTTTTCCCTTTTCCTTTATCATCGATCTCATTAGGGGTGGATATGGGGTTAAGGGATGAAGGGCTTTGTTCCCTCCACATTGCATCCTATTCATTTCCCAAATTAGAACCTACTTCATCATGATCATTAACATAAGGAGAATGAGAGTGACGAGAACTAATGGGTGGAGAAGGAACATATGCTTCATCATCTATTGTAGGCGGATCGGCCACTGAGGTAAACTTTTCGGCTCCTTGGGCACATCCCCCAAAAACTTGGTGCATTTTGTATTCAAGCTCAGGTTCAATTCCTTCATCACGAAAGATTTCAAATTTTGCATTTTCCTATCAAAAAAAGAATGAGTTAAAATTTTTCTTACCTTTCCCCCATTTTGTTAATCATTAAACAGCACTCTTATGATAACATTAAAAAAAACTAACCTTTATTTTTAAAGCCCACCATGCATCACTTGCGACAACCGTTCCTTTTTCATGATCCAACCCTAAACCGGTTTCCTTCGATTTCAATTGTTTCCAAAGTATCCATTTAGGCCTCATTCCATCCAATTTGTTTTTAAGCCGGCATTTATCCCATGCTATGTTTGTGGTATTTTCCCAATTTTCTACCACTTTTTTCCACAATAAGTTGTGTGAAGTAATAGCACCATTTTTTCCTTTACTCCACAATGTGTTTTTAATACAAAGATCAAAAAGTATGTGGATTAATTCATTGGACCAAGTTATTCGATTTACATTCACCAATTTTTGGATTTCTCCATCATTTATCCTCTCCCCTATGTGATTACTTTTATTTTTCTTTGGGGCCATCTAAACATAAGTAAGTAATAACATCATTACATAACTATTTAAGCTCATATACTACATAGCAGAATGAAACACCAAATTGTGATACGAAAGATGTAAATAACAATTACATATAACAAGATAATTAAAGTATAGAATAGCAAGTTTAAAAGTCAAACTCTTAAAATTAAATACTCACAGAAACAAGACATATGAAAGATGTAAATTGCAAATTCTTTCCTAAAAAGCTCAAATTGTAACAACACCATCAGTTATCAAACACATGTTTTTTTTCTAAAAAAAAAAACTAATATTTCTATTATGTACTCCTTAGTAATTAGGAGATTAATTAAGCAAACCACCACACATACTTATATATATGAAGAAAAAAAAACCACAATATTAATGCATGAGAAAAATGAAGAGAAAGCATAATGACTTCTTTATTAGTGTTTGCTCTCCAAATTTACTACTATAACCCTTTTTCACCCAAAATTTAATTATACAAAATTAATTTGTATAGTAGTTGCTAACGTATATTATAACATTGAACTTATTTAATAGTATAACAAAGCTAGTTAGGATCTCACTTTTTTTGATGAGATTGAATTTTTTTTTTTAAATTTTTTTATTAAAAAAAAATCAGAACCCATACATCTACAAATTGAGATCTCAGCAATTTTGTTTAAACTAACTAATAAGTCTTCTTATTTATGCTAATCCTTCTCTAATTAAAAGAAAATTGAAGAGGTTCATGGTAAATTCTACATCAAATTAAAACAAATTAAATGGGCATTTTTCTACAGATCTAAAAAACTTAATAACCAAAAAAAAAAATTCAAAGTTACCGAATAATGTAGTCATGCAGTTGCCAAATCTTGATTCTGAATTTATGCTCCGTCGCTTCCGCTGCTCCACGTTCACCTGAACTTCTCACAAATTTTCTCTGTAGTGTATTAGTAGTATATTGGGGTTTTTTTTTTGTTTTAGGAGAGAGAAAGGTAATTGATAAGAATGGGTAATAAGTGTTTATTAGGGATAAAATTGTAATAGTTATCATTTAAGCCAAAATCTAACCCCAAAAAGCTACTCTCACTAGTTTTTGGCATTGGCAGAAAAGCTGGCTTTTTAGTCAACCAAAATGCCAATCAACCAAACATAAATTTTGGCTGTTTGACCACTTTCAAAAGCCAAAAGCCAAAAGCTATACAAAAAGCTACTTACCAAACAACCCCTATATAAACATGTAATACTTCAAAAATGAAGATGGTTTTTTTTTCTCTTTCCTTTCCTTACCGGATTTTGAGTTTGTTTATAAATATGTAAAATGTTATAAAATTGTTATTTTTCTATCAATTTTGTATTTGGTAGTGAATTTGCAATCGTATGTTTATTTGTGATTTAAGGTGGATATTCAGATTTTTAGAGTTGAAATAATTATAATATATATAATCGAACTTTTGTATATTTCTTGTCATAAAAACATGTAGTACTTTAAAAATGAACATACAACTATTTATAAAGAATATATTTTGAACGTTTTTTTTTTTTTTTGGCAGAAATGAGTAGGATTAATTAATTAAGTCTGTTACACATAAGTTCTCCCATTAGTGGGGGGTCAAAATAAGGTGGCACAACACCCACATAGTTCCTAGTAGGACTAATAGTAGCATAGTTAGAGTTAGAGAATACATCATCAAAAAGTGGGGGTGGGGGTTAAAAGTACTGCTTTACAAAGTAACAAATCAAGGGTTGTAGCCCCAGCTGATTGAGCTGCAAGATCCAATCTGGCTTCCCTGGGTAGCTTATCTGCTTCATGCACCTTATTCCTTGACACATACAACAACTTGATCTGTGGTAGGCTTTGGCTTAGGTGCCTACAAGTAAGATCAAGATTGTGTAGTTCATCAACAGGGCTGTTAGGCTGTGTTATGGCTTTAATACACCTTTGACAATCTGAGAGGATGGTAGAGTCTTCTCGTTTATTTCTGGTGCACCATTGAAGGGCCATAAGACACACAGCAATGAGAGGGGAAGTGACTGTTACATGAGTTGCAATTCTTGCACTAATGAACCCTAATGGTCTTTACATACAAAAGCTAACCTTGCACTCATTGTTCTTGCAGAGTGGGAGGCATCAATGTATATAGTATAGCAAGCAGGAAAAATGTTAGTCATGACACATGTTGGTTTGGCAATAGGGGTCCCTGGTCCAAACAATATAAACTCATTGGCATACCCTTTAGTAGTAGCCCACCACTGCTCAGTGGATGAGTTATGGTTTCCAAACACCTATTTGTTTCTCATCAACCAAATTCTCCAACGGATAGTAGCAAATGAGGAGTTCCACTCTAGGTTGAACAAAGGATGATTAGAAGAGTTTTTGATGTTTTTGGCAAACCAAACTGGGAAGCACTCAGAGAAGAAATTTTTGTGACAGGGAATGGAAAACCATATTTCAGAAGCTCTAGGGCAGTCTCTCAACACATGAGAGATGGTTTCAGGCTGGTTAGGACAGAAAGGGCAAGAACTAGAATTGATAATTCTCCTATGGTGAAGGAGGTCAACAGTTGGAAGGGATTTCCAAGCACACAACCAAAGGAAGGACTTGATGGTTGGTCTAACATTCAAGGTTCATATATGGCCAGTGATGAAATTAGCCCCTCCCCCAGGGTATTTTAGATCCCATTGATGAAAATTGGCAGCAACAGTGTCAAAATAGTCCCCTTTACCCAAGGAACAGAAAGGAAAGTCTTCCCTAAAGCTAGGAATTGGGATGGCTAAGATGTGAGTGTGTATATTAGGGGGAAGTTGAGTTTGCAATAAGTCAAGGTCCCAGCTGCAGTCCCTTATGATTTTCTAAAGTCCCTCCTCATGTTGGTCAGGAGAGAGAAAGGTAATTGATAAGAATGGGTAATAAGTGTTTATTAGGGATAAAATTGTAATAGTTATCATTTAAGCCAAAATCTAACCCCAAAAAGCTACTCTCACTAGTTTTTGGCATTGGCAGAAAAGCTGGCTTTTTAGTCAACCAAAATGTCAATCAACCAAACATAAATTTTGGCTGTTTGACCACTTTCAAAAGCCAAAAGCCAAAAGCTATACAAAAAGCTACTTACCAAACAACCCCTATATAAACATGTAATACTTCAAAAATGAAGATGGTTTTTTTTTCTCTTTCCTTTCCTTACCGGATTTTGAGTTTGTTTATAAATATGTAAAATGTTATAAAATTGTTATTTTTCTATCAATTTTGTATTTGGTAGTGAATTTGCAATCGTATGTTTATTTGTGATTTAAGGTGGATATTCAGATTTTTAGAGTTGAAATAATTATAATATATATAATCGAACTTTTGTATATTTCTTGTCATAAAAACATGTAGTACTTTAAAAATGAACATACAACTATTTATAAAGAATATATTTTGAACGTTTTTTTTTTTTTTGGCAGAAATGAGTAGGATTAATTAATTAAGTCTGTTACACATAAGTTCTCCCATTAGTGGGGGGTCAAAATAAGGTGGCACAACACCCACATAGTTCCTAGTAGGACTAATAGTAGCATAGTTAGAGTTAGAGAATACATCATCAAAAAGTGGGGGTGGGGGTTAAAAGTACTGCTTTACAAAGTAACAAATCAAGGGTTGTAGCCCCAGCTGATTGAGCTGCAAGATCCAATCTGGCTTCCCTGGGTAGCTTATCTGCTTCATGCACCTTATTCCTTGACACATACAACAACTTGATCTGTGGTAGGCTTTGGCTTAGGTGCCTACAAGTAAGATCAAGATTGTGTAGTTCATCAACAGGGCTGTTAGGCTGTGTTATGGCTTTAATACACCTTTGACAATCTGAGAGGATGGTAGAGTCTTCTCGTTTATTTCTGGTGCACCATTGAAGGGCCATAAGACACACAGCAATGAGAGGGGAAGTGACTGTTACATGAGTTGCAATTCTTGCACTAATGAACCCTAATGGTCTTTACATACAAAAGCTAACCTTGCACTCATTGTTCTTGCAGAGTGGGAGGCATCAATGTATATAGTATAGCAAGCAGGAAAAATGTTAGTCATGACACATGTTGGTTTGGCAATAGGGGTCCCTGGTCCAAACAATATAAACTCATTGGCATACCCTTTAGTAGTAGCCCACCACTGCTCAGTGGATGAGTTATGGTTTCCAAACACCTATTTGTTTCTCATCAACCAAATTCTCCAACGGATAGTAGCAAATGAGGAGTTCCACTCTAGGTTGAACAAAGGATGATTAGAAGAGTTTTTGATGTTTTTGGCAAACCAAACTGGGAAGCACTCAGAGAAGAAATTTTTGTGACAGGGAATGGAAAACCATATTTCAGAAGCTCTAGGGCAGTCTCTCAACACATGAGAGATGGTTTCAGGCTGGTTAGGACAGAAAGGGCAAGAACTAGAATTGATAATTCTCCTATGGTGAAGGAGGTCAACAGTTGGAAGGGATTTCCAAGCACACAACCAAAGGAAGGACTTGATGGTTGGTCTAACATTCAAGGTTCATATATGGCCAGTGATGAAATTAGCCCCTCCCCCAGGGTATTTTAGATCCCATTGATGAAAATTGGCAGCAACAGTGTCAAAATAGTCCCCTTTACCCAAGGAACAGAAAGGAAAGTCTTCCCTAAAGCTAGGAATTGGGATGGCTAAGATGTGAGTGTGTATATTAGGGGGAAGTTGAGTTTGCAATAAGTCAAGGTCCCAGCTGCAGTCCCTTATGATTTTCTAAAGTCCCTCCTCATGTTGGTCAGGAAGTAAGGGGCCAGCAATAAGGCTTCTAAGAGAACCTAAGCCAGACCAATTGTCAAACCAGAGGGAGCATTGATCCCCCTTATCAATGGCCCATTGAGTGAAATCAGAAAAGATATTCCATCCCTTTCCCATAATTTTCCATATATGAGAACCATATTTAAAGGGGGTGGGTAAAGCTCTTCTTCAGTACTTCTCCCTTATGATGCTAAAAGCAAGGCTATTAGAATTGTGAATTCTCCAACAAAGTTTGCATACAAGGGCAACATTTTAAAGGTGGGAAAGTTTAAAGCCCATACCTCCTTTGTCTCTGTGTCCACATAGTTTGGACCACGCAATCAAATGGGTTTTATGGGCAGTGGAGATCCTTTCAAGTTCACAACTCAAGTGCCCTTTCCCAATGCCAAATGATTGGTATTTATTGGGAAAAGAGCCCTTGAATTCCAATCTCCCATCAATGTGGGAGAGTTGGTAAAAAGACATTTATTCAATTTAATTTAATTCTAAAATCAAATTAAAATGCAAATAAATCAACAAACAACAAGTGTTAAGTGGAGAGTAAGGGGTTAGGTGAGTACCACAAGGGGGGACCACCCTCCCTTTGCTCCCTAAGAAAACCCACACAAACCGGCTTCCCCACGCACACGGCCAATGCTCGCGCGCCAGCTGGCCACCCAGCCTTTGGCACCAAGGCGCGCCACATTGGTGGCCTGGTGCTCAGCTGGGCCTGCTAGTTGGGCGCTATGCGTGCACGTAGCCCAGCACACAAGAACGCACAGCCCGCAACCCACGCACACATTGCGTGCTGCTACTGCTGCTGCGATGCTCGTGCTAGGTGCAGCCCAGCACGCTGCTACCTCGCGCACAAGGCCCAGCTAGCATGTGCTGCTGGCCTTGCTTGCGATGGTGCGGGTTGGGTGCTGCCATACCTAGCATGTGCGGCTGGCCCCTTGCAGGCCTTGCCTTGCACACATGGCTGGCTCGACCAGCATGCTCGACCATGCTAGGCATGTTGAGCTTGCGGCCGAGCCTTTCCTTGCGGCAATGGCTCTGGCTATCCATCCTACCCCTCGATTGGCTAGTCCACTTCGAGGCTAGGATTTTCTCGTGCGATGACTTGTTGTTTGCTTGATTTCTCGTCTCGTCGATTCCTAAATTCGACTCGACTTACGACGCTCAATTTCCGACTCTCTAAGCTTGGAATCCGACGACTATGTTCGTAATACTCTAATGACTCATTTAATCCTTCGGATTAATTCTTCGTTTCGGTTCGGTTACTCGATTGGGTGTGACTCGAAGGGTTCAGTCAAGATTAAGCTGCAATATTAATTATGCATTAATATTACTGATCGGAAGCGGCCTCCAGCTAGGCATTCCGATCATTTGACCTCACTGAATAATTAGCTTTCTAATAATTTCGAACCCTCTATCGGAATAATACACTTGTTTGAAGGACACCATTCCTTTCACATCCATTGGTCATGAACCCGCTAAAATGAAGATTTGAAGGTTGCCCCCCTCGTGAGCATCATGTGATAAAGTCAGTGATGGTCATGCCTATGCGCGCAAGGATCGAAGCATGCGAGAGGGAGATGCTGCTGCTACATTTTTTCCATGCCACGGAAGGCTTCGCCGCGCCACGGCAGGTGCGCCATGCCACGGCAAAAAGCACCATGGCACGACAGTTCTACTTTTGTGCTTAATGCTCGTGTTGTGCGTGCGCGCATACCCCCCTTGTGCGTGCGCACTGCTGGGTCTTTTGTTCGATTTTTATTGTTTATATATATAGGCCTTGACTTTCCTAGTTAATGAAAACCTTAGAATAGCTTAGAATTTTCTCTCTCATATTTTAGCTTAGGTTGAGAGCTTCTCTCTCTAGCTTTAGGGTTAGTTTTAGGAGTAGTTTTAGAGAGAGAAAGTGAGGGATTTCAATTGTGATTGGAGAGGTTGAAGATGCAAGGGTGAAAATTGTATTCAAGATCTTCTCAATTATCAATGAGCATTTCTTACTCTATCTCATCTTATTGCTTTCTTTAATTTCATGTTTGTTTGATTTGGTTTTGATTATTGAATCTTGATTAGTGTAGTTGTTCCTCAATATTTGT